TTCTAAATTTCCCTCATTCAGCAAGTAATTTCTTGATTTTTTTATATTAAAATTACAAGTTATTTTGTTACAACAAGTTCCTTGTTCCAATATTTGCAATAAACAGAAGCAAATTACATTTTTGGTGATGCAAAAATGGTCCAAACATTGACCCCAAAACCATGATGTGATCAGTGATCCGACTAGGAAATAAAGGCCTGATTTAGTGTTTATTCATTTATTTTCTTTTCAGCTTAGTCACTTTATTAATCCAGGGTCACCACAGCGGATTGAACCGCCAACTTATCCAGCATATGTTTTACACAGCGGATGCCCTTCCAGCTGCAACCCATCACTAGAAAACACCAATACCCGATTTAGTGTTGTTACTTAGAAACTAAGTTGCTATTATTATTATTATAGCCTCAATTTAACCAGGAAAAGTAGATTAAAAATCTCTTTTACAAGAGTGACCTGGCGCAAAACCATTCAAAGCACATGTGTGCACTGCACAAGGGATCTCAAAACTGGAGCGGTGTGCATGCTGAATGTCCACACTGTTCTGGTGATGAAATCCCTGGCATACCCATAAGAGCTGCAGTATACTTTGGGCTTAATGCTGCTTGTGTCAACAGAAACGGGTTCAGCGAGCACCTCGCACTTGCTGCATCGTTTCCAACAAGCAAACAAGCGCTGACCTGTGCCAAGTAGTAAAACCCGCAGCCTTAGGGGCATTCTGGCCATTCCTGAGGTTATAACTACTCAGAATTACATTCTTGGGTTTGAGAACTACACGTCCATCTGAGACTGGTCCATATTAAATCCAGGAGAGTTCAGTCAGCGTAGAAGCATTCAGGTCTTCTTCTTCAAGACATTTAATGACACTGACTTTTTATTTGCATCTCTTAAAAGCACAATATATACTATTGTTCACTAAAATATCCAGAAACACTGGAGTAATGTGTTATATTTTGTACTTGTATTTTGACTTGAGTACTTGCATTATCCCAAACGTTTGTAAGAATGTTCAAACGCAGAGAACTGCTCAGTTTTATCTAGTGAGACAGAGGTTTTCTAAAATGCAGCTTTATCAGGCTTTAATATGATGTGTGTTTTATTTGACTGCACAGAGCAGCATTATAGCAGAAGCCTACAAGGTGTTCAGTCTGATAAAACAGCTCTGCATCTTCTCCATGTGATCACGAGCTGAAAACCCGGATGGAGTGAGGCATAATTAAAGCTCTGCTGTTTTCCTGCTGCATCAGGCTCGTCTGCCATCAGCTACTGCTTCAGCGTTTCTCTCATTTCAGTCTTAAGGCTTGTACACACCGGGACGCTTTTCGTTTGCGTTTATCGTCAGCGTTTTTCCGAGATGTTTTTCCAGATTCAAACACAAGCGATTTTCACTGGCGTCGAGCAGAAGAGCATGCAAAATCACTCCTTGACGTTAGATGGCGCTACACAGCTTTAAGCTTCTGACACCCGATTGTAACACAGAAGAAGAAAACAGGAAGTTGACACGCTTGCTGTTAAAGTTACTGGCAATAGAGTGAAGGAACTATGACGTCACTTTGCAGGCTAATTGGCTGCTAGCATAAAACTGGTTCCCGAAGATTGCAAATAATAAGCTCTGTGTTCAAACACTGTTCATTACACTTACACGTTTTGTCCAGCCGGATAATCCTCACACGAAAATACAACTTTGAGCACTTTTGGATCTTATATACAAACGCAAGAACTGAAAAGCTAACATTAGGCTATAAACGGACTACTGTGCCCTCGGGGCGCTCGTCTGTGACGCCAGAAGCAGCCCATACAGTCACATATGCTATCCATTTTATGGAGGAGTGTAAATATTGCAGTTACAACCGAGTTAAATGTGTTCAGATGAAGGAAAAAAAAGACGAAAAATCACTTGATGACGTGAAAATGACAGTTAACATGCATGTATTTTAACACATTTATTCACACGTTTGCATTACTGAGAGCAGGACAGAGACAGGCTGCACTGGTGAGCAGTATCTTCATGTTATCGTTTATTAAAATAAAAGATCAGCAAATGAATCCGTCTCGACAGCCTTTACAAGTGAAGACATTATCTACACACAATCTGAATTCCCAAATAGAAAATGACTACAAACTATAAAGTTCTATTAATGAAAATACCTAAATAACAGAAAAATCCAAATGTCCAACGCAAGCGAGCTGCACTCCAGACCAGATCAGCATGATGACGTATATTATCTCCGACGCCGCCTGTAATCCCATTTAGCAACTTGATAGCAACCGTCTTTTTAAAGAAGCATAACCGATTTAAAAACTCAAGAGTGTGCTGTAACTGATGTGTTTTATGTCGTAGAACAAAACGTGAAAGTATCTTGGGTTTGTGTTAGCCACGAACCTTATTTAAGCGATTTTACTGAAACACCATTGAACAAAACCCATTGACTTTGGGACGAGGGAACCAGAACTGCTAAAATGCTAACTCGCTTCCGGGTTTTTGCATACAAATTGACGTCATAGTTCCTCCACTCTATTCGAACAAGCATGGATTGTTCAAGCAGCAGCTCTGGCAATGAAGAAACGATCATTGTTCACCAGTGTAAATAGCAGCTCTACGTTCATATCGCCTCTTGGCATCTTCTTCAATGTGCGCTCGACAGTTTTGCACTTGAGCGCCCCCACGTGCTGTTTACTGTGATTTCGGCAGCTCCGTGGACGTAAACAAAAGTGGCAATCTGATTGGTGGAGAAGATTTTGACATAGAACATGAGGGTTTCTTTAAAAATGACACTTTTACGACTGGCGTTTTGCACGTTGGTGCCATAGACTGTAAAATATATGGACGTAGTATCCGTGACGTCACCCATAGGTTTCTAAAGAGCGCAAAAGAAGCCACAAGTAGGCGCGGCCAACTGTCGCCATTTTGTTCGCGCGTCATCACAGCCACGGCGGGATACCAAACAAGGGCAAAGAGGCGGAGAGTGGGTGGAGCTACAGACACCTGCTAGCATTTAGCTTGGACCTGGTTCATTCACACTTTACTTTGGGAGAAATGCTCAATACTATATCACCTGCGACTCGTTTGTGTTCTGACCACTTGTGCTTGGTTGTACACTATATCAATAAAGTGTTTAGACCTGTAAAAACACTGCTGTAATACATTGAACCACTAAACATTGTTCTTATGACGTTTTTCAGCAGGAGGAAAACGCAAATTACCGCCAAACACTTCAGATATAGTCTGTGTTAGCTAATGCAAGACTATTGATGAACTCCAGCATAACACTGAATGACAACGCTTTAGATGACTGAACTAGAGCCTACAGCTGATCAATCTGATAGATTCTGGAGTGCAGTACAGCTCTAAATATAAATATAAACGATAAATGATCTTAAATAAAACAAATACATGTATAGAGATGGTATATAAGTATATAACTTTACTCACATGGGAAACGGAGGCCACGTGAATGGTTTGTGAGCACAATTAAGTGCACTCAGCATGCCATGCCATCTAATAATTGTAGGAAACAAGTCCAAAAGGCAGTTGACTGTGTAAAGCCACATAAAACAACACAGAAATACAATAAATATGCCGAGATCGGTGGCTAATCTGCAGGATTCAGCTGAGGTGATGTGACGGCGACCAACGAGACCTAGCTGTCAATCAAGTTGCCACTCCCTTAATTATGCAAACTTAATATAACTTAATATAAAGGAAACGGATGAGTTATAAAAAAATTCCCCCCCTCACAGTTGTCATGAAGGGTAATATTAGCTGTATTAACCAAAATCTTTTTTGTAGCAGGCTGTAAACACCTTTTTTCTGCTGTAGAGTTGGCCATTCTAACAGTGGACTCAATGGAAATTTGCTCTATTTTGGAGCCAGGATCAGCCAGGACTAGCGGAATTTCGGATGAATTGCAGTTTTAGTTACTTCTGTACTGGCTTCCTGAGGGAGAGCGGGAGGTTGCCGCTTGGTTGGTGCGCACAATCACATTAGCGCCCTTTATTCAGTCACGAGGCATAAGATGTCGGCAGAAAACGAGAGCAAAAAGCGTCGCGGTGTTCACGGGCCTTTACTTTGCCTCACACTACCATGATAATAAGTGTTGAATACTTCACTCATCATCAACAGGATTTCTGCAGAAGCCCCGTAGGATGATGAGGACCACAACATTCACAGCTTCCTCAAAATACACCTTTATTTGTTGTGAATACACACCCTCTAGTGGCCACAACCACATACTGTGCCTTTAATATGTGCATAAAGTTTTAGTATAAATGAAAACAGAATGTTTAAACCTAATAACAGCAATCCAACTGAGGGCATAAACAAGGAATGAAAGAGAACTCCACTTGTGTTAGCCCAAGTGTGAAAAGACCCTGGGAAAAAAAACAGAGGTATCTGTTGGGACATCCTAAATGACTAACTCACTTCTTCAGTTGGGTGGTCTACATCGTATTATAATGAACAGGCCATGACGGGGTGAAATGTCTAAGGCCATGGATACGAGCCAGATAACTCCGCTATTGTGACAGAGATGGTTTGTGTGTTTCAGGGAGGATTTCTCAATCCTCCAGTGGCTCTGGCGCGGGGCATCTGTGAAAGACTCTTTTCATGTGTGGGTAACGGCAGAAATCCATCAGAAGGCATGAATGTGGCCTATTGACGGACAGGGAAATGTCATGTCTGGGAGGCAGACTGACTCATGGCATACGGGTCGGCTGCGGATGGCCGTTTCTCCGGGTATTGAGTATTGTTGAGCAATTGAACAAGTCTATCACACAACATTTAAGTGTCACAATTCAAGGGTTAGAGTGAGTTACTTCTACAAAACAAACCAGAATCAATGCTCTGAATATATCAAAACGTTTTTGATCAAGAAACTCTGCTGTTGCTGTATGAAAGGGAAAGCATGTGTGTGTGTTTGACAACTGAACAGGGATATGAACTGGTTCCTGGGCCCATCCTGTAAACCTGAAGACAGAGAGGAGGATTATTGGGTCTTTCTCAC